TAGCATATTAAGCTTTTATTATATAGGATTATATAGGATGAAAACATCCTAAACTGGTAATGCATGCATTAGTTTTTAACATACTATAAAATCAATATGTTTGTAAATGCTACTAGCAAACTCTTTGTAGAAGTCTACTTGTAGTGTTGTAATTAGCTGCACATTGTGTAAAACCTGTAGTGAACCATCTGAATTCTCTTAGAATTAATTTGAACCTAGCAGGATTTTTGAAAACTGTAATTAGCACAGATTAATATCACCAAATGAAGGTCTTACTAACTATGTAATGAATGTTCCTACATGCTGCCCCAGTAAATAACATTATGTTATAATATTTTACAAAAATTACCACTTTTCCACATTCAGGTTGACCTTTTTATTTGTTGAAAGAGTGAAATGTATTTTCGGTAGGTTATGCATGTTGTAGTTTGTGGCACAACATATAATCAGTACAGCAAACTAAAATGAGGTGTCACCTCACCCCTGCCAGAATGGCTATAATCAATAAATCAGCAAATAACAAATGCTGGCCAGGATGTGGGGAAAAAGGAACCCTAGTGCACTGTTGGTGGGAATGCAGACTGATGCAATCACTGTGGAAAACAACATGGAGTTTTTTCAAAAAATTAAAAATGGAACTGCCATTAAGAATCCTGAAACACATTGACCCTAACTGGTTTGGCTCAGTGGCTAGAGCGTCAGCCTGTGGACTCAAGGGTTCCAGGTTCGATTCCGGTCAAGGGCATGTACCTGGGTTTCGGGCACATCCCCAGTGAGGAGTGTGCAGGAGGCAGCTGATGGATGTTTCTGACTCTCTATCTCTCTCCCTTCCTCTCTGTAAAAAATCGGGGCGGGGGCGGGGGGAGAAAGGAGACATATGTAATACTCTTTGTAATACTTTAAGCAATAAATAAATAAATAAACCATTTAAAAAAAGACAGGAAGTGGAGCAGCGGCCCTCTGGGCAGGCGCGTAGGCCGAGTCCTGCTGTCCGCACCCTCCGCCCCGGACCGCGCCATTGGGGGGGGGGGGGGGGGTCACTCCGCCGGGAACAGGTGGCGGGGCAGCGCGGGCGCGGACACTCCCGCCGGGGCCGCCTGCCGTGGACGCGGATTATTACCGCGGCGACCAGTCGGATGATGGTGGCGCTACCCCAGCGCAGGAGGAGCGGGACTCAGGGTCAGACCTAGAGGAGGATGTACATGCGCAGCACCCTGGGCCAGACACGGGAAGTGGGAAGTGTAGACCGTCACTCAGGGGTATTGGCGACACGACGTCTGGGAGCTTTTCCCTCGCATTCTGTGAGACCTGTCTTATGTTGGAGTTGTAGAGACCCTGTCACCAGGTTTAGGCTTCAAACCCTGGGGTACAGAATTGTAAGTTTATAGAGGGATAGTCTGTTATTTACAAAATCACAGGGAATTAACTTCTGATTGGGTCCCATTTCAGATATTAGGCAGTTCTTGGCAGTTTTTGGTTGAGAAAATAGGCCAGGCTTTTGATATTTGACTATGCTTTCCCCATTCCCAAAAGGATGTCTTACTGGAGCAATGACCATTTGCAAACTGAAGATATTCCTATTGAAATCGAAAGTTTGAGGGCTATCACCTTGCAAAAATTTTATCAGAATTTGGCTTCGAGCTGTTCCAATGTATGAAATAACAAAGCACATGTCATTTAAAAAGCTGCTGTTGCTTAGTAATACAGAGTTGTACTGGATTTTGTGTATAGCATTTCAATATATTTGGCCTATTACATCTTTTTTCTATTTAGTTAGTGCTAATTTAATTTCTTTCAACAGTATTCTGTAGTATTGAGAGTAAAAGTTTTTTGTTAAACTCATTCCTAACTTTTATTATTTTTTTACTTATTGATTGATTTGAAGAGAGACATCTCATTGTTGTTCCACTTGTTTATGCATTCATTGGTTGATTCTTGTATGTGCCCTGACTGGGGCTTGAACCCATAACCTTGGCATATTGGGATGACGTTCTAAGCAACTGAGCTACCGGGCCCAAGCCAGCCATATTTTTTAAACTGTTTAATTTGCTTCCCTGGTTGTATCATCTGTATTGCACAATGTTAACAAAATAAAGCTGGGATGCTTTTCAATAAGTCAGCTATGAGTTTTGGTAAACACAAACTGAAACAAACACGTAGGAATGATAAAGATGGCCAAATTTTCTTTTAAGAACTGATATTCCATATATTTTGCTTGATTATGCATGTGCAGAAAATTGTCCAGTTTTTTTTTTAAGTGGTAGGTCTAATTGTTAGAGATCGTATTATTGACTCTGTTCTTTGACATGTCATTAGTATATTCATATATTCAATAAATATTTATTCAGCAAAAAAAACACACACACAAAAACAAAACAAACAACAACAAAAACCAAAACCAGAGAATAGACTGACAGCTATCAGAGGGGAGGGATTTCGAGGTGCTGGGTAAAAAAAAGGTGACAGGGTTAAGAAAAACACGTGCTCACAGGCACAGACAACTGTATGGTGATTATGGAGGGAAAGGAGAGGATGGCACACAGAAGAAGGTAGGCAGGGATAAATGGTGGGCGTGCGGAGGCTGGACTTGCAGCACACAGATGATGTGTTGTGGAGTTGTGCACGTGAAACCTCTGTGGTTTTATTGATGGGTGTCACTCCAATAAATTCAATACACATTTTTTAAATTCCCAGGTGTTCTGGAACAGAAGATTGCTGACAGCTGCCACTGTGATAGGTGTCCAGAGAAGCGTAGCTAGCCAGGCCTCCCCTCCGAACACCTGCACAAAAAGGGGGTCAGAATTCAGAAAGGACCGGGATCCCTCCCTGCTGATCAAATCTTGTATAAGTAAACCATTCATTCACTCATGCAATCACCCAGGACAAACTAATTCAGGACCTGAATGTGCAGACACTGGACTAGTCAATCATGGCTTTGACCACAAAGAGGGTGGATAAGGCTCCATGTCTCAGGGATGGAGAGAAACATCCTGGTGGAGAGAAGCATATGATAAACACACAAATGAATGATATCAACTCCATTCATTGAAGAGGGCTAGGAGTTGCAGAATGCTTTAGAAGATTAAAAAACCGCCCTGGCTTGTTTGGCTCAGTGGATAGAGCGTCGGCCTGCAGACTGAAGAGTCCCAGGTTCGATTCCAGTCAAGGGCATGTACCTTGGTTGCAGGCACATCCCCAGTGGGGAGTGTGCAGGAGGCAGCTGATGGGTGTTTCTCTCTCATCGATGTTTCTAACTCTCTATCCCTCTCCCCTCTTCTCTATAAAAAATCAATAAAAAATATTTTTTAAAAAAAAGAAGATTTGCCGAAACCGGTTTGGCTCAGTGGATAGAACGTTGGCCTGCGGACTGAAAGGTCCCGGGTTTGATTCCGGTCAAGGGCATGTACCTGGGTTGCGGGCACATCCCCAGTAGGAGATGTGCAGGAGGCAGCTGATCGATGTTTCTCTCTCATCGATGTTTCTGACTCTCTATCCCTCTCCCTTCCTCTCTGTAAAAAATCAATAAAATATATTTTTTAAAAAATAAATAAAAAATTAAAAAAAGATTAAAAAACCACACTTGGTTGCAAACATAAGGAATATTCCTGTGGGTTTAGTGTATAAATGGAGTGTTTAAGCACTCCACAGCCCTTTGCCCTTGACTTTCCTTGCCCTGTAACTTCTAGTGTTGTCACCCTGCTTTAGAAACAAACATTGGGCCGAAACCGGTTTGGCTCAGTGGATAGAGCGTCGGCCTGCGGACTGAAAGGTCCCGGGTTCGATTCCGGTCAGGGGCATGTACCTGGGTTGCGGGCACTTCCCCAGTGGGGATGTGCAGGAGGCAGCTGATCGATGTTTCTCTCTCATCGATGTTTCTAACTTTCTATCTCTCTCCCTTCCTCTCTGTAAAAAATCAATAAAATATATTTAAAAAAACAAAACAAAACAAAACAAAAAAAAAAACATTGGCCCTGACCGGTTTGGCTCAGTGGGTAGAGCGTCAGCCTGTGGACTGAAGGGTCCCAGGTTCGATTCCGGTCAAGGACATGTACCTTAGTTGCGGGCACATACCCAGTAGGGAGTGTGCAGGAGGCAGCTGATAGATGTTTCTCTCTCATCGATGTTTCTAACTCTCTATCCCTCTCCCTTTCTCTCTGTAAAAAAACCCAATAAAATATATTAAAATAAATAATAAAAAAAATAAAAACAAACATTGGTTGTAGAACTTTCAGGTTTCCCCCGTTCTGGGTGGAGTAGCCTCTGGCCCTGCTCAAGCTCCAGTGTGGCCTCAGTTGGCAGCACAGATGCTCTGCACCTCAGTTTCCCCGTCCAGCCCTAAACCATTCTAAGTGCCTTTAGGCTGGAAGCCCAGGACCCTCTTCTTGAGTTTGGCATTTTTGGCTGACACTGGCCATCACCATGGGAGATAGCCAGAAGGACCCCTTCTTCTGCTCAGCAGGCCCCCACTCTGGGTTCCACTCCTGGGCCTCTCTGACAAGAGCTCTGTTTATAGAAACTAAATCACCTGCTTAATAAACTCAGTTTATTAAAACTACCTAAATCATCCTCCCGAATAGAATTCTTGACCTGCCCATGGTTGCTGCCCAAACCACATCTCTGAGGCAAATAGGACAAGGTTTATTGCTCCCATTGTCCAGATAAGGAAAACTGAGCTTTAATGGACCAACCAACAGAGCCACTCATTTCCAGGGCCTCCTCCTCCTAGAAGCCCTCCTCACCACCTGGGTCCAAAAGTAGGGTCTCCTTGGTCCTTCCCCAGACCCTGCACTAAGGCTCTTTGGGGCACTGGTGATACAGCGGGATGCACTATGGGACCCCTTCTGCACACTCAAGTTGACCTAGGCTTCTGTGCCCAGGGCACTAGGACCCCAGGCCCCCCTGCCTCTGGAGATAGGCCCTCCAGGGCTGCCTGCAGGGGATAAGCCAGGCTATTTTTATCACTTCCTTCCTCCCTCTCAAGCAGTGGCCACCATCAGCTATTTACATAGAACTGCCACCTCAGCCTCAACCCGGACAGTTCAGGTCACAGAAAGGGGAACTGGACTGCAGGCCTGGAAGGTAAGAAGCCCCCCTTATTACCCAGCACTGCCTCCCACACCAGGGGTTCCTCCCAGGTGGTGAGGAGGTGGGCTGTCAATTCTTACTTCTATGCCCACTTTTGCTCTCCCTTCTAGAAGGTGGCGTTGGGTGCGGGCATTCACTCTGAGACACCTGCTCCTTGGCTAAGTCAAGATTCACTGGTTTATTCAACGAATAGTCATTGGGAGTCTGCCATGTGCCAGGCCCTGGGGGTTGAAAAGAGCTTGCCTTCAAAAGGGGGAAAACAGTGTGGAGGCAAGGCAGTGAATCAGGCAGAAAACTGGGGCTCGTGAGACCTGAGTTTGAATCTGGTTTCTGACACAGGCTACTGTGTGACCCTGCACAAATCTCTCTTGTCTCTGGGCCTCAGTTTCCCCAAGCCTGGCTGAGGGGCTTGCAGAGGGAGCTCCTTCCGGGTTCCCTTCCCGCCCCCACCTCAGTATCCTTGTGCTGGTTTCTACATCGAGTACCACATAAGGGTTCACTTCATCACGGCCAGCTGTTTGGAATTGGTGGGGTGAGGTGTGGTCTGTGAAGGCCACACCTTTGGCCTAACCCCAGGCTTAGGCAGGGAGGCTGGGAGCAGCCTTTCCCAGCCCTACGGGTGGAGGACCAGGACTGTAAACCACGGAGCAGGGACCTGCTCCCCCCACCTCCTGAAGTCCTGTCCTCTTCCGAAGTCACCCCTGCTCCCTCCCCTACTGTCTTGCCTTCTGAGTGTTCAGTGAGGGTCAGCCAGGCCTAAGTTGGGCACAGTTCAGTTCCTTCCGTCTTCACAGCTGCAATTTCACAGGTCAGATACCATTGTTCCTATGGTACCCGCTGGTTCTTGGGATGGGGTGCAGGCTACCCGACCCTCCCTCACCTCACAGCCACTCTCCCCACAGCCAGCCTGCACAATGCCTGCCTGGGGAGCCCTGTTCCTGCTCTGGGCTGCCGCAGAAGCCACAAAGGACTGCCCTGCACCATGCACCTGCCAGGCCCTGGAAACCATGGGGCTGTGGGTGGACTGCAGGGGTCGAGGGCTCACATCCATGCCTGCCCTGCCAGCCCACACCCGCCACCTCCTGCTGGCCAACAATAGCCTTCGTTCTGTGCCTCCCGGCGCCTTCGACCACATGGTCCAGCTGCAGACACTTGACGTGACACAGAACCCCTGGCACTGTGACTGCAGCCTCACCTACCTGCACCTCTGGCTGGAGGACCACACACCAGAGGCCCTGCTGGACGTCCGCTGTGCCAGCCCCAGCTATGCCACCCTCCACCCACTGGGCCAGCTCACAGGCTATGAGCTGGGCAACTGCGGCTGGCAACTACAGAAACCTTGGGCCTATCCATGGGTCTGGTGGGATGTGGCACTGGTTGTTGTGGTCATAATGGGCCTGGCTCTCTTGGCAGGTCTACTGTGCACTGCCAGAGAGCCCCTGTTCCTAGGGTCGTTCTTCAGGCCAAGCGGCCAGGCCTGAGCCCCTGTCCAGACTCCACCAGCCCTGATCAGCCAGTTCTACCAGTAACTTGAAATAAACTGGCTGCTCAGTCATTTTGTCCAAACTCAGATATTTTATTTTTCCCTCTCAGTACCTTCTGGAAACCTGGGTTCATTTTTTTTTATTACCAGATATCAACTGGTGCTTTTCTGTCCCCCAAGTTCCTAGTAGAATGGGCTGTCCCACTTCCTTCCAACCAGCCACCTGCAATTCCACAATTTGGACATCCAGAGCCTTTCCCCAGTGCCTGCAGGTCCCGGGACACCAGCTCTCACACCCTCCCTTCTCTAGTAGTACCAGCTTCCCACATGGACCATCCTAGGCAGCCCAGGCCAATTGCACATCAAATTCCAAAAATAAACCAAAAACCAAAAACAGCTTTATCTCACAACACAGCAGTGAACAGACAGGAAGTACTGACGAGGGCCTGGTCATCTCTGCAACAGACATACACTGAAAGGCACTTCACCATTCCCAAATGGCCTTGGCGCTCTGGCCCTGAGGCCATCTGGGCTCACCTGGCCCCATCTCCCGCACTAGTTTCTCTCCTTTATTTCCCCTCTCCCCTCTTCTTCAGAAACAAAACATCAGAGTACTCCATTTCTCATGGAACAAAAACTCCCCTCCAAGTGCTGACATCAGACACCTGCAAACTCTGGGGTCTCACTTCTACCCCATTCAACAGATTCTTCAAACAAGACACTTCTCTCCCTCAGAGGAATTCTGGTGCCGAGCAGTGAAATTAAACTTTTCTCCGCTGTGCATGCTAACGTTTAGGTCTGTTACTGGCCAACCCAAATCAAATATAATTACACCAAGGTCCCTCCCTCTAGGAGTTCCATGGGGTGGTCCCATGGCTCAGAAGGTGCCACTAGGAAAGCCAAGTGAGCATAGTGTGCCACTGAAAGGCACCGGTAACAGAGGTGAGGCTGAAACAGGACCCTCAAACTGAGGATGAGGGATGGACAGTAGGGAGTTGTGGAGACTGTGGCAAATCAGAGAGCCCATGTTCCATCCAAAGAGGTCCAGCCAAATGCTGCCGTGTGGAGATGTGGACCTAGGTGCCCTGTATTCCATTCTTCTAGAGAGACTGGAAATCTAGATTTTTATGTGAAATCTCTGAATTTGGCAACTTCTGGCAACTAAATGAAAATTTTAATTGTTCTTTCAATAGGGCAAATATAACACATATTATCAACTCGACAGAGTCCACAGCTGAGAGTCTGTAATTTGTCTGCATTAGGCATCGGCTGAACCACTGCTGCCTAATGACAACAATGGTAAAAGATGGCATCTACTGATTGTATGTGAAGGCCCTATGTGAAGCCCCTTACAATGCACCCTGTAAACACCCCGAGGGGAAGATACTGTTCTCCCTGCAATGTACGGAGGAGAACACAGCTCCAGGGGCCCCAGCGGTCACTTCATAGGCATGATCCCAGACAGGTCCCCTTCCACATCTGAAAAGTGCTCCCTTAGGAACTTCCTGGGCTCCCTGGAACTAAGGCTCTTCCGCATCCAAGTCCCCACATGGGATGTCCATAAATTCTGCCACTTCTCCTTCCTGGGGCCAACGTGTGCAGCCACAGGTCTGGTGCAATGATTATTATAGGCCTTGATCCTGTTGACTGAGTGGCTTGGTCCAGTGAGAACCTGTTAGGAGCCTGGGAAGCCCAGCGTCACCAATGCAGGTGATGATTCCCCTGAGGGTGGAAGGCGTGAAGGGAACCTCAGTGGCCAAGCAGGAATTTCCCAGGTAAATAGAGAATGGACACAAGAGCCCTAGGAAAACCGCCCTCTGGGGACGCATATTTACCATTTCCATCATTCCCACGTTCTCTATTTCAGGCCAGCAAGGCTTCCACCACAGAACCACCCACCACACAGCCACCAACCCCATCATCAATGTCTCCCCCCACCGCTGTCCCCTTTAGGACACAGTCAGCCACAGAGCCAGCTCTCCATGACCACTCACACAGTCTCCCCTCCCTACGGACCAACCCAGTACGGAGTAACACTTGGGATGTCGCATTAACACCACCCTTAGTACCCATCACGGCCCGCACGCACACCAGCATCACATCTGCCTCCTCTCCGTTCTCTCCATCACAGCCACAGACATTAGCCCCATGAGTCGACACTGTTCCGCACTGCCATTCCCCCATTTCTGCTGTCACCACTAGCACCAAACAACCGTGGACCTTACCCCATTATATAAGCAAAATGCCAGCTCTGTCATTGACATCAGCCTATCCAAGCAGTCACCATGACATCATCCTCATAATCATTTCCTTCATAAATATTTTCAAAATCCAACTACACATGGAGAATTTGCCGAGGTAATTTTTACTAGCTGATATGACAACCACCACACCTTGCTTACCCCAATTGAGGTTTGCTCCTTCCTCATACCTCGGTATGTTCAGCTGTTCACCAGGAGGCCTTCCATAGGACTTCTGGCTCCCGCTGAGCCTGTTTTCTTGGTTCTGCTCAGAACCAGTCCTCTGCTGGCCTCCTGCCTTCTTCTGTCCCTGGGTAAGCAGGGACAGCAGAGAGGATTGTGCAGATGCTCACAGCCAGGCCTAGAAATGTATAGATGACTTTCAGAAGAAATCATTGTTTCAAACCCCAGTCACTGGCACCACCCTAACTGCAGGGGAGGCCAGGAAACACAGCCCTCCACTGTGCCCAGTAACAGGCAGCGGGTGCGCATCTAGCAATTGTCAATCCCATGTAGCCTAAGGTAATAAGTGCCTGGTCAGAAACAGGACACGCCATAGAAAGGGCATTTGTGACGTGGTGGGCACTCTTAGGGGGCACATGCTGAGTCGTGGCCCTGAGACACAGCCAGACACAGTTCCTAACACAGTGCCCATCTCGTGTTTTTTGTTTTTGATTGTATTTTTATTGATTTCAGAGAGGAAGGGAGAGAGAGATAGAAACATCAATGATGCGAGAGAATCATCGATTGGCTGCCTCCTGCACCACCCTCCTACTGGGGGCGCGGGGACCAAGCCCGCAACTCAGGCATGTGCCCTTGACCAGAATCGAACCTGGGACTCACCCTTCAGTCCGCAGGCCAATGCTCTATTCACTGAGCTAAACCAGCTAGGGCCATCTCGTGTTTTTTGCACACATACTTACCCCCACCTCCTGTGAACAAAAATGAGTGTGTGTACACACACACACACACACACACACACACACACAGTCTTCCAAGGACTCCATGCTGACCCAGACAGGATCCCCACAACTCCCGACACTTGGGATGTCGCATTATTTGGAGTTGTACGGCATGCACTCCAGCCCCTGGGTGTGTGCCAAGATGGCAAAGAGCAGAAGGGGGAAGGCTCTGTCCTGGCTCAGCTCTGCCCAAGTTGGGGAACAGTGAGTCTGTGGCCTGGGGAACCTTTCAAGAACAAATCTAACTTGGCAGACACCCCAGCCTCTGATTGTCAGCTTCCTAAATGGTTTTGGAATTGAATCTCATTTTAAATCACGCTGGATAATGAGCAGTGATGACATACACTGCAGGCTTGAGGAAATATCTCCAAGTCTTGGTTGAGTTTTCTTATATAGGTCTCTAATAAAGTGGGTAAAACAAAGAGAGCACAGCTAAACTGTATTACTTTCTTAATTACAAATTTTAAAGCGGTACACCCCTCTACTGCTTCTAGTGGCCACTGATACCACTTTGTGTTAGGTCGCCCAAGGAAGAACGCATGAAGCCAGACTGGTGAGCGGGTGAGGGATTACGAATTTATTCAATCATCCGCACACCAGGTGGCTGAGCCTGGATGGCTCCAGCACCCAGTGAGGGGAGTCAGCGGCTTTTAAAGGACTTTTGGCGGGATTTTTCTGGGTGGAGACTTCTTTATGCATACCCGGGAGAGAATGGAATGTGGTCACAGCAAGTGAAAAGTGGTCTTCAGCAAAGGGAATGTCCGTAGTTAAATGACCTGAAAAGCCAGTTCCCAGGGGAATGGCATCAACTCAATTGCTCCATCAAACCTAACACTTTGATATGGACCTTTCCAGACATTTTCTATGCACTTATAAATATGTGTATGTACCCACCAAAAATATTACTGTCTTATGGCAGGTTTCTCCAGAAATAATATACTTATGTATTCTTCTGAAACTGGCTTTTTTTTCATGGCCACGCAATTTAGAGAATTATCTGTCCATATCAGCCACCTCTCAACCTCCCTCCCTCTTTTTAACACAGAATTAGCACAGTATTTCATAGTATCATGTTCTACAGTTTATTTAACTTTCGTTGGCAAAGATGCAATTACTCCAATACTCTCCTTTACAAACCTGAAGTTTCTGTTGAGAAATCAGGTGACAGTCTTATGGGAGCTCTCTTATAGGTAACTCTTTCTCTTGCTACTTTTAAAATTCTCTCCTTGTCCTTAACCTTTGCCATTTTAATTGTGTCTTGGTGTCAGCCTCTTTGGGCTCATCTTGACTTGGACTCTCTGTGTTTGCTGGACTTATAGTTCTATTTTCTTCAACAGGTTAGAGAAGCTTAGAGAAGCTTTTAGTCATTATTTGCTCAAATAGGTTCTCAATATTTTGCTCTCTTCTTCTGGAACCTCTATGATGCAAATGGTGTTGCACTTGATGTTATACCAAGTTAGGCCCTTTAACCTATTTTCATTACTTTTCCATTTTCTTTTTTTAAGATAGATTTTTATTGATTTCAGAGGGCAAAGGAGAGGGAGAGAGACATAAAAGCATCAATGATGAGAATCATTGATTGGCTGCCTCCTGCATGCCCCGTGGTGGGATCAAGCCCACAACTTGGGCTTGTGCCCTGACTGGGAATTCTACCCTGACCTCCTGGTTTGTAGGTTGACACTCAACCACTGAGCCACACTGGCTGGGCTCATTTCTTTTTCTTTTTGCTGTTCTGATTGAGAATTTTCTTCTACCTTGTCTTCCAAATAGTGGATTCAATCCTCTGCTTCATCTAATCTGTTATTGATTTAATCTAATATATTCTTTATTTCAGTTATTATATTCTTAATTTCTGACTGGATTTAAACAT